TATTCTTCGAGATATATTTAATGATTTATCTAATGAAACAACAATATAAGTGCATGTCGATCAGAGTTTGCGAGTTGTTCAAAAGGCCCAATTATATAATATATAATAAAAGTATATTAAAAGTGAATTATTTCGAAGAATACTAGTGCTAATTTTTTTCAAGTATGAAATATGATTGTTTTTAAAAGTGTTCAAACGCTCAAAAATATTTTTCATTGATGTTTAATTGAAATAAGATAGAAACTTTACTTATCGAACTGCTCTTTTAGTAGTAAGATAACAGCAAATAGTAACTTAATGTTTAAAAAAATGTGTATTTTATATTAAATCATAAAAAAATAATAATTGTCTATATAACATCGTATTGATTAAAAAATACAAATTACGTAAGAAGAAACAATTTTCTGTTTAGAAAAAGAATGTTAGCGGATGTGCAACGCTCTGGTTCCTTTTCTTGCCCATAGTATTTCCGATAAATCAATTTTCGTAAATTTTATTTGTTTCGCTTGTCTATACTTTCACGATAGAGACACGGACGATAATTATGCTTTTCGCGGCTCCACAAATACGGGGCATCGATAATGGAGTTCGTCCATTAGCAGTTAAGTCATTGTAAGTGTGTAAAACGAGACTACGGGCATAACGAACCAACGCGTGTTTTTAAGCTCTTCTTTCCACCTACGTCGTTTTATAATATTTTTTTCTTTTCCCTTTCTTTTCTCTAATATAATATCTGAGAGATATACGATCATATGTATAATGGAATTTCGATAGAAATTATCCTCGCGATATATTGCTCCGAGGGAACGCAGTACATATATACATACTATTATAACGTGAAATTAAATGTCAAATCGTGTCAAATTAGCGTGAAAATAATCGATTTTCGCTATTCGGGGCGGAAATTACGCGATCGATCTCTTTGCACGGAATAAAAGAGGCAGGTTTCGAAACACGAGCACGCATGTACGACCGTGACATTGTGTTTACGCACAATCATAGCGTAGACGCAATAACGGGGTCGCGTTGCGGAAAATTAAGTCGAATCCGGACGCATGCGTGTACGACCGAGAGAGAGAGAGAGAAAGAGAGAGGGTGATCAGAGAGCGAATTTTCTCAAAAACGAGTTTCTGGTTGTAACCGCGAGAAATCAACTCTATCACGGTGTTGCTGCTACTGCTCGGTAGCTCTCGTATAATAGAATGTATTACGAAGCGTAATAGAATACTTGATGCCTTTAACTCTCCCTTCAAACTGCGACTTGAACTTACGTCACTATGTAACAGTAATCGCGTTTAGCAACGCGGCGTAATGACTCGGATTTGCAATCATATCTTTGGCGAAAAGTATAAATAAACTAAACTTGATTTAAATATCATGGAGAAATAATATCAAAATTCTTCGGGGCAAAAATAACGCTAAAATTATTAGAAATATCATGTGAAAGAAAAATAATATAACAATTAAAAGTAAAAATAAAAATTAAACTTGATTTAAATATCATGGAGAAATAATATCAAAATTCTTCGGGGCAAAAATAACGCTAAAATTATTAGAAATATCATGTGAAAGAAAAATAATATATATTCTCACAGTCCAGTGACGATCTATTATATATAAACTTTCTATTATTTTTTCTTTTTACAGATCACAGAGGCTCTCTTATTTCTTCATGGCAACTGTAAATTTCTTCATAGAAACGTTTGTCCGACGAGTATCATCATCACGAAGAGGGGCACGTGGAAGTTGTCGGGATTCGAGTTTCTCGGTGAGCCTGCAATCTCGTTATCCCTCGTATCAAAGATAAATTCCTTAATCAAAATTTGGCCATTTTTTTGTCAATCAGTCATTTTTCCTCAAATAACAGTATATGTCACTCTGTTTTCTTTTTAATTGCCCAGTATTAAATATGATAAAACGCTTTGTTGCTAAATACATATAATGACAAAAATTTATATTATTAAGTTAAAAATTTATATTATTAAATTAAAGAGAAAATTGTTTTTGTCAAATTATTGTATATATTATAAGTTTTAGAGAATATAAAAAAGGCTAATTAGAAAGAAATAAATGATGTATCAGCCAGACTGTGATATCAATAGATAGCATAATGCAATTTGTTACTCCAGTATGCGTTTTGCTCTTATTAGAGGCGGCTAAGGAAGTACCGATGACCGTGCAATCGTGGACGAAACACATGCCGAAAATGACTCAGCCCAATCTCGACTACATAGGTGAGGTGTCGCGAATGACCGTGTCCTTAACGTACGCCCACACGCTGGGAGAGCTGTTTCAGTAACAGTGTTTCGAGTCACTCAACTTTACTAGACATTACTAAAATCGATGAATATATATTTCGTTGGCACTCAACGCGATTAAATGCATTCTCGAGCCTTCGCTTGAAACCGAGTAATTGATTTTCCTCGTAAATAGAAAAGGCTCTTCTACAAATAGAAACTCTGAATATGGCATCCTTATAAATAGAGATTCTTTTTTTTATCCCTTTTAAATATTATAAAAGAAATTTAAAAGATTATTTAGCGAGATAAAAATCTGCGTTTCGAGAATATGTAGGCGTTTAGTATCACAAACGCGATTATATTTGCTTTTCCCCCCGTGTTTGCGCGCGCGATTCTCGCGTCAGATAAAGCAATCTTGGTATTATACAGCTGTATTTAACTTTAAATGCACGATGAAAACAGAAATCTAATTATACAACCGTTACAATAACGTAACGACTCAATACTGCGTTTTGTAATTTGGTTGAATTAAACCGCTCGGTGAATACATTTCAATCGAACGTTCGTATATAAGCATGTCAGTGAATAGGGATGACTAATAATGAAAAAACTCAAACAATTTAACATCCACAATAATTTAAACATATTTTTTTTGTATGATATGATAGCGATAAAAGAATATCGTTATTTATAATTATAGTAGAAAATAAAATATATCGATATCTGAATCTAGTAGCAAGGGCCTAATAATAATAAATTGAATGACTGCCAGGTGGAAGGCAAACGTATTACCGGATTCGATAATATTAAAAGGAACAGGATGGAAGAGAGATTGACCATGGTAGCCCCGTCGAGTTCCCTACGGCTTTCTGTGTTTATATACATATACATAAAAAAGAGTTTATTTACGTACGCGAGAGAAATGAGCACGGCGTCATTAATGGGATTGGATTTATGCGGAAAACTCTATTATCTCCGAACTTTAGCGATAAACTGGGTGTACCACTTTGCATCCCACGTCTCTCGATCGAGTCACGCAAGAATTACTGATAGCAACTTCCCGGCTAACGCTCTCTTTCTCTCTTTCTCAATTTGCGTTGCTAATTACCCTCGCGCGCCTCGTATACCGGGTTCGTCTGTAACGCAACACGTTGCAGCACCGGAGGTGCAGCAGAAGAAGCTCGGCAGCTTTTCCAGCGACATGTACAGCTTCGGTATGACGATATGCGCGATCTACAATCAGGGCCGACCGCTGATACAGGCGAATCACAGCTGCTCGGATTATCTCAAGCAACTAGAGACCGTAAGTTGATCTGTCTGCAAGACGGAAACGAGATAATTCCATTAGAAACGTCGAGAAGGATCTCGCGGATATTCTTTTAAAGGATTTAACCCCCGGGACACACGGAGAGATTTTCTTTCGCAAAGATCTTTCATCTCTCTGAGACGCGTTTGAATAAATAAATTTCAGTCTGTAGTTACATATTTTTTCTCTTTTGAATTTTTCACCACCGTGCAATTGTATCGCACAACTGCAATCGTATCATAGTTGACTAACAAAATTGGAATAGTTGTTTATATAAAAAATATTGATTTTATTCTATCCGATAGCTTCAAATTGCGTTTGTTTTTCGTTAGAACGACGTAGTATATAGTTCGTTACTGCATTCTATGCTTCAATTCGCGATTTCATGCAATATTTCAATTCTCAAAAGGGCAGTTACAATTTTTCCAAAAAATATTTAGAGAGCCACCGAGACTACCTACATTATCGCACAGCTAACTCTCCTGCTGTCCCGTAAATTAATATACAATAATTATGCAGACCAATATCGTTTTATAAAGCAATACATTTCGATAATAATTTTATTATAAAAAATTTTAAGTCTCCCAAAAAATAATTTTTTGGACTAAATAAGCGTCATGTTGTTATTGTATCGTGTCGATCAGCTCGACGATCAAGTCGCCGTTATCTTGCCACTGGTACCGATACCCCTGCGGGAAGCCGTAACGCGACTCTTGCACAAGGATCCCGAGCAGAGGCCTACCGCGCAAATATTGACCATGATCAAGTTCTTCCGGGACCCGTTTGTGCACGCCCTGCAATTTCTCGATGTCAGCAAGATGAAGGACGTGTCGCAAAAGGAGCACTTTTACACGACGACTCTGAGGGAACTGTTACCCTATATGCCAAAGGTATACGCGTGAATATTGCGACGTTAATTATTCAGGGCAAACTTGCGGGACGAAAACATCCGGGACGGAAAATTAAATCTACAATCTAAATATTAGAATCGTAATTGTTTAATTTATTTTTTATTAAAAACGCTTTCGAGTCTCTAATTTTTTAATGACGATATCTTTTCCTTTCTTTCCGGTATATAATTTTCCCGCGCCTCGTTTTGCAATCATAGAGGGGTTGCGAATTTTTTTATCCCATCTTTGGGAAATAGACAGGGTGTTTACTTTATAAGTGGAAAAACATGGAAAACCTGGAATTCTTGGCGATTCTTTTTTATAGCTGGAAAAATTAGGGAATTTTCATGTCATTTTATTAAGACTCAGGAAATTTTTTTAAAAATTATCAAGTGGATTATGCGTTTAAAATATATATTATAAATCTCTCTCTCTTTCTCTCTTTCTTTGTTTATATATTTATTATTTTAACAAAATATTGAATATGCAGTACATATTCTTTATTGTAATTTTCAGTGATAAAAAATGAAAATGTTAAGCGCCGCCCAAATGAAAAATGTTCATCTTATTCAATTTTTTTCATACATAATTCTATAGCAGGGCTTTAGAAGTAATTATTGTGTGTTTATATAATAAGTCACAAGCCCTGCTATAGAATTTTGTTTATTATTTTGGAGCCGTTTTATTATTTCGATTTTTCCGTGCATTTACAAATCTAACACTTGAAACTTGAACAACCAAAAGACGCCGTTTTTCTTTCATATAAATATATGAAAAACATAAGAAAATGCACGCGATAAAAAATTTATTTTAGAAGGAATTGCATTAGAAAACCTTCAAAATATTTTCTTTACCTGGAATTTTGAACAAAAATATCTGGAAAATCAAAGAATTTTCAGGGAACTTTTTTACATGAGTGGATATGGACATTTGAGTAGACATCATGATAGAGAAAATTATAGAACACATAGGAAGTTAGTGCACTATGGCGATTGCGTCTCTCCACGTAGGAGTTGTAAATTTGACTCCGCTCGCTCCGTGGGCGAGCGAAGTCCCATCCTAATCGCGCACGTTTCCGCGCGTGTCACGCGAACATCTTCCGCAGAAACTCTGGTATCAGCACATCTGGACGTATCTTCACGCGGAGCTGCATACGCAGGAAGTGCTGTCGGCCGTGCTGCAACCTATGCTCTACATTGTTCAGAACAGCACCAAAGAGGAGTACGACCAGATCGTATTTCCCACGCTCAAGTACGTACGAGAACAAGGGCGGAAATGAGCGCGAGACCGCGCGAGATAGGCACGTCTCGTTTCATACTTCTCTTCCATCTTTCTCTTTCTCTCTCTCTCTCTCTCTCTCCCGCAGACCACTCTTCACCAATCGAAAGTCAATTCAGGGAACCGTGACCCTATTGGAGAATCTGCATGTCATCCTGGAGAAGACGCCTCAGGAATACGAGCGCGAGGTCCTGTCGATGCTGTACAAGTCCTTCGAGAATTCCAACATTCAAGTACGAGTAAGTAAACGATCAATTTCATACATGAACGAGAAAAAGATCTTTGGACACCGTCGAAAAATATATTGATCTAACGTAACTAAAGAAATTCAATTGCTAAGCCAAAAATTATGATATTTAAGAAATTTAAAGAATTTTTAGTTTGATATAAAAATTCTTAATTTCCTGTAAGTTTCTACTTAAAATCATCAACGCCATATTCATACACCGATTTTGTGACTTAAGAATATCGTGGATTCCTAAAAAAATTTTTGTGTCTTTAAAAAATAATTTTTGTATTAATAACACGATTAATCTGTTTATCATTAGATGGCCGCGTTCGTGGCTGTGTCTCACGTGACGAATTATCTCGAAGACGATGCCATACATAAGGTCGTGCTACCGAAGCTGCTGGACGCTTTCGAAAACAACTCGGCAGATGCGCGGGTACTGATGGATGTGGTGCCGTGCATTCTATGCCGTCTCGAGAAGCAGAAGATCATCGACTGCATCCTACCGCTGCTCTGCAAAGTCAAGCTGCAGGAGCCCGAGATCGTCGTGCGGGTTGTAAGTAAGTGAAGTAAAAGCGAGTATCACACAAGCGTGGATCTAGTACTTTGTAAACACGCACCTAGTACAAGTCTTTCTCGATGACGACCATCGACTACTCGCGTGTTTTACGAGATCAAAAGATTTATCATTAAATTCTTTCTATATAAAACGTGATATAAAGAAGATACGAATAATACATATCTCTCTTCCGTCTACTGTCTCGGCAAATGCTAAAAAATGTGATTCAAAGTTTTATCTTACTACCGATTATTTATCGAGACAAGCGCAGTTATTATTGATCATATGAAGGCAAACCATGATTAGCTATGGTAGCGAAAATTTTTTTTTCCGTGATAAAACAGGTTTTTTGGATCAAATGCCTGTTAGAAAAGAAAAAGAAATCGACCAGAGACTGTTTTAATCCGTAATGAAGTAAGGGAAAAGATCCTGTTCTCGATAACATGGAGAGGAAAAATAAAACGTAAAAACGAGGTACTGTGTTCCAAATCTGTGTACCAAAGAGACAGATATGTTTGTTTTAAGGAAGAAGAGACAAACGGTATACAACTCTAAAGCTAATCGCTCTCGTCCGTTTGCATTCAGATATTTACAGGCTGATGCTCACCGACAAAAAGTACGGATTGTCTGTCAATTGGATGGCGGCGCACGCGATGCCGTCATTGCTACCACAAACTGTGAATCCGGCGCTGAATCTCGAGCAATTCATCCTACTCCTCGAGGTGCTGCAGGATATGTTGAACAACATTGAAAGGCAAGCACAATTAGTATTAAGAGCGAGCGGTGTAATTAAAAGTGTCGGTTAAACGGGTCAATGATAACACACGACTCTCTCTCTGATAATTATTATGAGAACAAACGAATACTATTGTACGTACATTTAATGGCGTGTGCGAAGTAATTGCAGAATTCTTCAATCGTAAAATTAACGCGTTATTCATACACGTCTAGTAATTGCTAATAAAATTATTTATTAAAAAAGCAAACACTGACCGATATTTTATCGCCAATAACTCGTTGCACTTGTTGTTCCGCCGAAACAAAGATTCTATTTACGCCATTTAACTCAATAACGGATATTACATAATATAATTAATAAATATGGCGGAGCTATCAATTAATTAATATCGCGCATCTGTCGATATATCTGTCGATATAATGCATCTATAGAATTTACCGAGTAATAGCTTGAGCTTTCTTTCTCTCTCATTTCTGTCATTCTAGAAATCAGAGGAACAAATTGACGCTCGACAATTTATCGTTACCGAGTCCCGACAAGTATCGATCCCTGCGACATCAGTACAGTACCGATAATGTGCACGTGCCAACGTTCAACATTCCGAATTTGCGCATCGAGCAACGTAAGACCTCATCGGCCGAGGATATGGCCAGGAAGAATAGCATCGGTGCGAATATTAACAAAAATATCCGCAGATATCAAACATCTTTTTTAACGTCATCCAACATTTTTTACGCGCGAATCTAAATTTCCATGAAAACCTCTAAAGCTTTTATTTTACGGGCAATTTTATTTTACACAGTTTTTAAATTTTTCAACTCGTAATATATTTAACATTTCCTTCTCAGGTCATTCATAATATCTAAAAGTGTTTTTTCGACATTTTTTTTTTTTTTTATTACATTTTCTTTTACGGCGAACTAACACTCTGGTATGGATATTTTTCATAAATATTAGTTAAACTGTGAACGGTGGTTTAATAAATTTTCCGTCTCTTAATAGCGAGATGGGATCGGTAGGAGACAGATGAAACACGTCCATTAACTTTATTTAATATTTATGATAACGGTCCTCCAAGGGATCAAGTGACCCGCGGTTATGATACTAAAAGGGCATTTCTCCGCACGCAGGTTCCATATCAACGGCGTCTGCGGAAAATATGGCGCGAAAAAGTTCGATGGCTGGTAAGTGGAAATGTGCTAGTTCTTCCGCTCCTCCCTCCCTTCCCTGCTTCCAATATAAAATATTAACGCGAGTCTCGGAGGCTCGATATCTCTCGTCTCGAACGAGATCGATCTAACCGAATCGGATGATTCTGTTTAGCGATGTTCGGTGGATGGTTTACCTCAACATCGGCTAACGACAACAATTTCTTGCGAGTGGCCAACACGTTCACGAGCAGACGCCTGTCGGACAACACCCTGATGACACCGAAGATACGGATAGCACCGTCCTGTGCGAGCTCGCCGGGCGCGACGCCCGGCAGCGGCCTACCGATCCGTCGACACTCCAGCACCGGTCCCCAGGAGCGACGTGGATCCAACATTAATTTATCCCCGCCTACGGTACATATATATTACATATGTAAAGATGTATCGTTGCGCGTATCATTTACCGCGCCTACTTTAATTCGCGGCGAAACATATCGTTGACACGCGACACGCAATGACGTAACGTGTATAAAAGAACAGATAAATCGCGTAGTAAATGAATAAAAGAATGAATATATGTATATGAGAATTGGTGAAATGCTCGCAATCGTAAAAACGCGGAGGTGTATAACGATACTCTTAAGATGAATGAAACGCGAGATTGAAATTTTCAATATAATTTCCTTCCGTCCTCTCAATTTCGAGACTCGAGATTCAAGTATTCGATAACTCTCTCGTAATTTTATCTAGCGTTTAATAAGGCACATCGAAGTTTAAAACTAACGTGACCTAGTGACATTTTTGCGTGCGCTTTGGAACAATCGGAAAACTACCTGCCATTTATAAAAGCGAATCCTTTCTATTGATCATACGACGCGACGTAAAACAGAAATAAATCGGAGTCTAATTTAATTAGATTAATTGATCGCCGCCCGGTATATATATTAATGCGCCGAGTGCTAACGCGGATAAAATCGCGTAGATTTGCAACTTATACAGAAACTCCGAAAAATAATCAGAAATATTAATGTCCCTCATTTATTCACGCAGTACAAGTATTGTAGTAATTAGTTCTGTGAAATTCAATGTCAAATCGAATCTGTTCGCAGGGGGGCGGGATGCCGATCACGAGTAGCAGCGTGCCATATCTGCTCAGTACGAGCTTAAGCAGTATTCGCGGCTCGAGACGGCCGTCCGTATCCTCGACGTCGTCGCAGCAGGGGATCGGGCTACTGCAGCAGGTTGGCTCCAGCATGGTAAGACAACTACCCCCCATCTGCCTGAACCTGAACGGACCACCACCACCACCAACACTCTCTCCATCACTCCAGCTACCGGGACAGCATTCCCACTGACCCTCCGTTACAGTGTAAGGATATTCGCTAAGACTTTGCTCCGTTCGTGCTTGCCGCTCTTTCTCTCTTTCTCTCTTTCTCTCTTTCTCTCTCTCTTTCTTTCTCCGTCTGATCACTCCCACACGCACCTTCTCCTTAGAGATTAGATTCTCTCTATTTTCGATTAATTGGGAGAAACCGTCGTGCGATATCGAAATATTGGTCAAAGCAGTTAATAATCAAACGCGATAAGCCCGGGAAGAAAAATTAAAGTTTCAACTGTAAGTGTTTTCTCTTAACGATAACTAATTGCATCGTAATTATAAAGTTTAGTAATTTAATATTTTTTCGTGTTTCTCTCTTTCTTTTTCTTCCTCTAAAAAAAAATAACAAATTGTAATTTTCTTTCTGAGATTTATTGAGATTCAATAACTAATGAATTAATTTTTCAAGACGAGAAAAGATGCAAGGATATTATCTTTCGTTCATTAACAATGGAAGAGATATTAAATCTGGAGATTTTAATTTGTAGAAATTTTCTATAAGAGCGCTTATCTCTTGAATTCAACGAGATTCTTTCGAAAATCGCGTTTTCTAACAATAAGACCGATCATTACCGCGGTTCCTCTTTATTCTCGTGAAGTGCCTCGCGCTGCACCGTACGAGAAACGGCAAAGCCGTAAAGGGACCTCCCTCCCTTCTCTTTCCCCTGTTGCAGTACCAATTCTTCAATAGACAGCCCGAAGCGTGAAGTGCCAACGATCGTCATTGAACAAAAGTCGGACAAGATCGCGGTGGTTGTGGAGTCTCTAACTAGCGTGCACCGATCCACTCGCACGCTCGGTCAATCGTAAGGAACGGAGTTAACGAGGAATCGCGTCGGTGATTCTTGCAAGGACATCTCAGCAAGCGAGACGACGTCGATTCACTTCTAATTAGCCTTGGGATTCGGGCAATAGACGCGACCATGGATAGTAACCCAGATTGCGAGTTAGTGAAACTAGATGTAAAAATGGAAGAAGGATATTGCAGGTACGTGATAGGTGCAAGTTTAATGAGAGACCGAAAGAGGTTCTCGCACGCATTTCAACCGCGTTCATGCGAGATTTAATATACATACATAGGTATATTCTTCGGCGGCCAAGATCGCGAATTGATGACCGCAAATTAATCCGGAGAGAGAGAGAGAGAGATCCCTCTCTTCTCCCTCGCTGGATTAGTATTCGCACCGTATATGTTACCCTCGCCGCCAACGTAATGGCGATGGAGAATTCAGGGATATGCGGTTCTAGCAAGAAGGGCACGTATAACGAGCAATGGACATACGGGGTGTATCAGAAGTCGTCAACTCCGAAAATTTGATCCGGGTATTATACTGTTAATTATCGATGTTCAGGCAATATTAACATTTTATCTGCGGAATATTTTGTGTTTCCATTTTTCGCTCGTTTGTATATTGTAAGTATTTTTACAGCATATTATCTCGAATTTTTAATTGTTACAATTATATGGATGATCAACAGAATAGTAGATGCATAACATATAGCTTGTTATAATAAAAAAAAACTTGTCAGTCAAGAAAACATCTTTGTTTTGAATGGCATTTTAAAGCATAATTTTTTAAAGCGGCTCGCAAATTAATGGTGCATGCGCGAAATGCTTGATGATAAAGTGTTAATATATATATTAATATTTTGATATTTTATATACAATAATCTTTAACATGCAATATTTAATAATTAACGATAAATGATGACATTTATATATTTCTTGATTATTTTATCTTTATTGTTATAATAATTTTAAATTCATTTTAAAAATTACATTCTCGTCGCGCATTTAAAACTCAATATACCGTCCGATTCTGAACTTCGTTTATCTGGGTCAAACGTCAATAATCGACTCCATAAAGCGGTGACATAAGGTAACTCGAGACGAACGTGGACTGTGAGCTAAGAACATCACTAATCCATATTTCATATCCACAAGTAAAAAAAATCGATGATAATCGAAGATTGCGACTTCTGAAACAACCTTCATATCGACAAGAGACATTTCCTATAGAAGTAAATACGTATACACACAGTACCAAAAAAAGAAAAAAAAGAAAAGAAAAATACAAAAATTAATATATACATATATCTCTCTATCTTAGCCACGTACGGAGAGACAAAGGAATAAATATTTTTCTCGTCGATATATATTTGTCTATGTAATAATCTATAAAAGTATCGTAATAACGACGTGTGCGCGAGTCTAGCCACACGTCACAGTCGTCAATTGTTGCACTACACAATCACTAAATCTTAAGATAGCTTTTACAACTCAGGCATAATCGGATAACTTGAGTCTACTTTAGACGATCTGTAATTCACGACAGAAAAAATTTGCGGCAAATTATTCTATTTATTATTTTATGTGTCGCGTGTAATACACAGAGAACGCGTGGAGAAGTAAAATACATATATTATACATATGTACATTATGTGATTTGCGATATATAAAATTGTAAATAGACTTGTATCTTGAATTTTATCGTGAATTATACATCGTCTGAAATGGGATTCACACACGCACACACGCATGCACGCATATATATATACGTAACTGGTTGAGTTTTCCGTCATAATATAATCGGTATTTTGCAGAGCGGAATCGCCCATTAAATTGTCGTACACGGATCGCAATTAATATATATTTAAATTAAGAAATAAAATTATATTACTTGTGATCGATAATAATTTTATCTGTCCATCTCCGCGTATATGCAATTAATCAAGCGTGAGAAATGGTATATTTTTTTATTCAAAAAATATATTTTTTGTTAATATTAATTACATGCATTAATATTAATTACATGCGCGTGAAGGAGTGAATAAAATATATTTCGCAATTCACATGTGATTTTATTTCTGAAATTTGTGTTCTTTTGATAAATGTATTATCTTATTCTCGATTCGAAAAATTTCGGCGAGCAAGCCATCAGACAATCCATATGTAATTATTTGTACAAATTAATATTTATAATCTTTTGTTATGTAAACCAAAGTAAATCCTTCAGCAAGTACTTTTCCGCCCGCGATACCATTCTTTCTACGCGCAGTCACGTACAAATTATAGAAAAATCTTAGATCGCGATCTAAGATTGTCTATAATATTTGCATGTCACGTATGTCGTGTGTGCGTGTTTGGTTGTGTGATGCGTGCACGTGCGTGCGTTTCGAGGATTTTAGTAGCAATAAGATTTTAAGGATTTTCCGCGTCGTAAGTTTCGTTTTTTATCTTCGATGTGAATGTTTTCCGGTAACTTCTACGCGCGCACAAATCTTTTTCTCTGTCACCCTTTTTTGTCCGGTCACTAATTATCAGTCATGAAAAGTAGATTAATAGAAATCTCAATCTTACACGTTTGCAAAACATTTCGTTGGACAGTTTTATCTGATACCAACGCGTCACGAGATATATATTCTTCCGTGTAAGTAAGATATACATACGTGTCCACAAAGAGAGTGTGTAATTAACGAAAGGTGTGCACTCGCGCGTGACCGGTCACGTCGTCTAACAATAAGGAACTGATCGCGGAACGAATTGATACGAATTTCGGCGAGTTCGATTGTATAACTGATGACTGCTCGAAAAAGGACAACGTCCTTGCTCCTTTCGATTGCAAAACAAATAAACACAGAGGCCATTATTCACGCACTCACGTACACAGGCATCTTAGCTCGACTCGATTCTTCGGTGCCTGATTATGAATACGTCCGCGAATGATTGATAACGATCTCTTCGATCCCGAGCATTTTGATACAATTTTCGGAGAGTTGTGTCTTCACATTGCCGAGAACGAATATAATCTCGATTTCTATAGCGTGACGATGGAAGTGAAAAGTCGAGAGATCTCTTCGCACAAAGAATGGAAACGCTGAACATTTCAAACAGCAAAAATCTTTGAAATATAAAATTCTATGATCTTTTGAATTTATTTCATAAAAAGCTCATTTTTAAAGATTTGTTTATTGGAACGTTAATCGTAAATTTTAATTGATAAAATCACTCTAGGATAAAAATTCTTCTCTCACTCTTTCTCTCTCTCTTTCTAACCATAATTACCTCATATATATTAGCGCTTCTCATATATCGATAGAAGACGATGTCAAAGAAATAACGAGGAAGAGAAAAACGCACTTCGACATCCATATGTTTATATATGTTTATAAAACGTGTGCAGCCAACAATAAATATTCACTCACACAATTAGTTTTGTCGTCTAATAAAAATTAAACGTTATATAAACTTTATTGTAAACTTCGATTATATGATCTGACACCGCGCACAAGGGAAAAAACCTTACAGTACGTCCAAAAGAGATAAACACAGAGGTTACACGCGTGTATGTAAATATTGAGAGGAAGAGAGTGGGAAGGAGAAAAGAACAAGAGAATTTATTTGTTAAATTATATTGAATCATAGAATTTCGTAGAATTTACTTTCTGATTTTTTTTTTGTTCATTGAAACGTTAATTATAAATTTAAATGGATAAAAACCTCTTTAGGGTAAAAATTCTGTTTCTTTCCCACCCTTTCTCTCTCTCTCTCTCTCTCTTTGGTTCTACTCACCATTTAACTGAAATAGTAAAGTACATTTTATATGAGATCTATATAAAAAGTGTGTAGCCAATAATAAATATGCATGATTAGTTATTTTATTTAATGAAAATGTTATGAACTTTGGTGAATTAGATTTTTGACTGTGTCTTTATGTATGTGACGCACACATAAAGGGGGAAAGAACCTTACAACGCGTTCAAAATAATTACAGAGGTCACATGCATGAACATTAAGGGAGAAAGAGAGAGAGAGAGAGAAAGAGAGAAAAGAATAGCAAAGATTTTATTTTTCAAGTTATATTGATCGTCGGAAATTTCACGGAATTTACTTTCTACAACAATTCATTTTAAACGGTTGTTTATTGGAGCATTAATCGTGAATTAAAAAATCTCTTTAAGATAATATCCTTTCTTTTTTCCTCCCTTTCTCTTTTTGATTGTAATTACCTCCTAATTAAAATATCAAAAAGGATATAATATTGGACATATAATGAATATAGAATAGTTGAAAAAAATCCATTCTATATGATATATAAAGAAAAAAAATTGTAATAAAAAAATTGTATAAAAAGTAGTTAATAATACATTTGCACTCGCGCGACTAATTATATAGTTTAATGAATACTAAATGTTATGAACTTTAGTTAACTCCATTTCTTATTTTTAATTAATTCCATTTCGAACTGTATGTCATCGCACATATAGTGGAAGAAAATCTTACAGTGCGTCCAAAATAAATAAATAGAGGTCATCACGTGAACATATATAAACATTGTGAGAAAAAGAAAAAGAGAAAGAGAAGGAAGGAAAAGACAGAAAGGAAGAGAGAATTCATTTTTCAAATTGTTAAGCATCGAAATATAAGATATAGAATTCAACGAAAATCATTTTGGAAAATAACATCATTATTTGAATATAAGAAATTAGAATCGAAAATCAGATTGTATTCGTATTGGATTTTATGTGTAAAATTTTCCATCCTTTAATCCGACGAGATTCTTCGCGTCCACAATCGCGCGAGAAAATCGGAAAGCGCCGAAGTTTCATCGATCTCGTTCCGAGCACTCATGAAACGTCTACAATCCCAAAGAATCTCGTTTTCGTGTGGTTATACTATTCTAACTAATGGCATAAGAGATTATACAAAGTTAAGTGTCCTTAACGTTAAGCACACCCCGATACACATTTGGAGAAAGTAACAAAGCGGTCGGGTGACATCGACTCGCTCTTCTACTCCCTCTTTTCGCGTACTTTAAAACAGGCAGGCAAAGATAAAGAATAGAATGATATCGAAGTGTGATTATTCTATCAACTATGGACAATCACGGACAATCATTTACACGTATCAAGATACATGTGTGTGTGATATGCACGACACGTATTTTGTTTAAGTAGAAACGCGTTTGGACGAGAAACCACTCGCGGCTTTTATCGCCAGTAAAATGTAACGATTTTAAATACGAAATGATCGATAACGAGCGACGATTATTTGTCGAATAATCGCTGGACCAAGTATGCTATAAATGTTATTTTGATCATCATTATTTTCACACAAATATCACGTTTGTCATTCAAATTAAATGGATGTAAAAAAGATGTAGGAAATTCGTGTGCAATAATTTAAAAGTATCTTTCTTATAAATCCTATAATTATGATTGTCCACAGATTTTCTTCGTCTTTCGAAATTTTCATTAATCAAGCTAGAAGAAGTTAGTTGATATTGAACAAAGTGACACTGTATGCACTCTCAGCTTGTCGATTTAATTCGATATTGCTCACTCGTCTCGCTCTCATATATCGCTGAAAATACAACGCTTGCGATTGTCGTAATACCAGGGTCGGTCAACATTGTGCCCCAGGCGACATACAATCAAATTAATACACATTCTGATGTTGATCGACGCTCATGGCTCGTCCGAACGCGCGTGCATCAAGAGAGACGGTTCTCCTATATATATGTATACTATCGATTTTTACGAGTATCACGCACAAACTGTCCCGTATTGTGCAGGGACGCGTTTAGGCATCATAGAATGGGCTCGGGTCCTTTATTCGATTAATTTACGAACCGTTTGTATCTATAAAACGAAATTCTCAGTTGAGATATATATTACTATTAATAATGGAACTTTTGCACGACCGGAAGAATCGAATGCTATTATTTCAGAGCCCCCATTAAATTCTCGGGGCCCGAACATTATTCCGCAGGGCCTAAAAGCGTCGGGATAAACACGCCGCTATAGTACAATTATAGTATTTCATTTTTTTAATTTTTGCACTTTCCCTTTAGGTATCTCCTACGCGATCTTTATTCGCAGATTTTTAAAGACCATTTTGCTTCCAAAATACACTTCTCGTCTGTCACAGTTCATTATATCTTCTCTTGATCCGTCTCATCGTGCTGTAAAAAGCGAAAAGATTCTATCTTTCTATCTCTTATTGGCTTTAATTATATTAGGCTAATACGCGAGATGATGATCAATTAATTTATTGATCGAATCGACGATTGAAGAAACAAATATTAACAATAAACACAAATTTCAAAAAATCTTATTCTTAAATCAACTTTCCTCTTTTCTTATTCACTTGTTGTATTCTTGTATTTATTTACAGTAAAAACGCTGAAAAATTCTTAGAGAAATCTTTGATCGAAATTTTAGAATTTGAGTAATTTTCTACTCGGTACATTTTTCAAACCGTCGAATTCCGTGAAAAAGAATCAGCAATGTGAAGAAAGTATGAAGCCAGCTAACGCGCGTTCTGTAATATAATAATTACATGCAACTAAAGGGAAAGTATTTCCTAATTATATACAGATGACAAAACACACTGACTCTCTTTGAGATCGGTCATAGGATCGAATACATTTTGAAATTGCAGTGTTTCGTAATTAGTGAATGGATGTAGAGGAAGAAAATAAAATACATACACGCAGCACCTTCAAAATATAAATTGATAAGAGATGTATAGATAAAAATAAATGTATAAATGAGAATATTTTTCAACGTAATTTGTCGGATGACTTTTTGGATGTGTGTTACGCTCGAAAAATACTTCACGCACATGACAACCGATCCTAAAGGGTGTATCTTTGCTGTGTACTTCTAATTTGTACCGATACGATCGGCTTTATTCCCACCGTCCCGCGGAATCGATCACGCGCGGATAAGTATTTATCGGCGCGTTTCCTGAACGCGGACCACCGGATTATTGTCAGTATAGCGATTCTCTCGCGTAGTAAAAGGAAAAGAAAACAAAAAGATATATCACTGACGAGTAAAGTGCTCAACAGAATAATCCCCGTCAAGATTATGTGTTCAGAGAGGATACGTTATACTCTTTACGACGTCGTTAGTGATAAGATAGCGTTCAGAGGTCTATATTCAGAGAATATAATCCTTCTACCAATTATATATATATATATATAAAATTATAAATGTATATTTCATGTATTCGTTTTTAAAAATACAGTAAAACCACCGTTGTGTCAACACAATGCTCGAACGATTATCTTGCATGCGATTCGTTTTCACTCGTACCTTTCCCATGTGTTCAAAGAAAAATCTCTAATAAATTGCAACTTCATTATGTAATAAAATCGTATCCAGTATATTTATTATTCTGTAGTCATCTAAAAAAACAAAGATTAAATAATTATATATTGCTGCATAATAATTATATATATTATGCTCGTTATGTTATCATGGTAAATTTGACATAATTAATTCTTTCTTATATGAGCCCCTGCAATGTTATTGATAGCTATCAGTTATATATTATAATGTATCGCATGCTTTCTTTATCTCTCCATCGTGTGTGGAATGAGATAATAGGTTGCGCATCTTAATTTCTCATCCTCTCAGTTTTGACATTTGTCTCAAATTAATAAATTTTATAATTGGCCAAGAGCTTTTCTCTTAGCAATGTCATAATATACTCTTATATATACTTTTGGTAAATATTTTGACATTCGTATTTTGGCTTTGGCTAATGCTATTTCAGTAGGTGTTAAAGAAGATAAGAGCTTCTGTATCGCAGGTGTTTTTTCATATTGTTCGGCTTGTTTTTTAAGTCGAAGTAATACTAATTTCTTGGCCATTAATTTTCTTTGTTTTCTTTTCAGTGCTTTTTTTCTGCAACACACTTTAAATGCTTCTGCCTTTGAATCGTTTTCTTTTACATTATGCTTATTAGGTGAAATTTGTTGCAGCTGTTTGTGAAAATAGGATTCAGTTTCTTCTGGAATATCTTCGAATAATGCAATTTCTGATACTTCCGTTTCAGGTTCTTGACTTTCCGTTTTCAGATTTTCAAGAAACATGCTTGTTTCCGGATCGGACATTTCCATTTCGATATCCGATTCTATTTTAACTATACTAGGCTTGCCATTATTAGTAGCAGGCTTGTTTGGCAAGTTTAAAGAAGGCGCAATGCCGCGCTTCAATTTCCTCACTCTAAACGTCACTAGATAATCATCATCGGCAAAGTGCCGATAGCACACGGCACATTTGCTTATCTGCTCGTCGGTCAGATGTTGAATCTTCTCAGAGTAGATCATGTTTTTCCATTTCTGAAAAAGGATCGGATTCTTGGGAATCTGGTGAGACGGGGCATCTCCACCAGACGGACATCCCAAGACGCAACACGCTCTCCCCATAACCTAAAATAAAAAAATATGTATATTTCACCGATAATCAAACAGATTTATTACGTGGTCGTTTGTCTACGTCTCTCTTATAGCAATTAAACACTTACGTTAGTTGCGAGTATATCTGTTGCTCAAAAATGTTTCCAAACAATTCAATCTATAACCTTCAAATACGTATTATCCGTGGCTTCCCGGTAGATACTCGTCACGTGATCCGCATTTATTTTTACGAAACGGCAACAGATGGCGCGGACACTCGCTCGTGGTTTTTCTTTCCTCAAGTTGGCATATCGCATCGCCAATGCAGCCAACTTCGCGTCACGTTCATGCGCACGCGTCAGCGACACTCGAATCGCCGTGCGAGGTTGCTCTACGCGAATATTTGAAAAGTGCGAGCCGGATCGCGTGCGTCGCGTCCTCGGTCCGTGTCGCGTCGCGTTCCCCTTCGCTCGCGTTCCCGGGAGTGATCGCCGAGAGTATAGTGACGTCGGGTCGCGTCTCGTGTCTCGTCCCGTCTCCCACGCCGAGCGTGGCATGCGAGGTAAACCACGCCGGTGAACGGTGTTTACCCGCCTCGTCGTCCTCGTCGAGGAGCGCAGGATTATGATCGATGAGCCGCTGTGACGAGATCCCGGTGGAAGGACGACGACGACGACGACGACGACAACGACAAGGATGCAGCGAAGTGGTAAGCGAATGAACGCACGCACGCGCCAGGTCGGCGGCGGCAGGTGCGAGATACGGCGCCGACACCATTTTGGGCGCCGTCGAAATTTCGTCGTCAATACGACGCGGCTGGTCGATATACGCCGCGGACCGACCTAACCCTACCGATACACCCCGCGTCTTATAATGATTACTGACAGCCCCGATTAATCACACGTCTCTCGTTAATGGTCTTCTCTTTTTTGCCCTCTGTCCTTGTACAACATCTCTCTGTCCGTAATAAGAATTGAGCAGGAGATTGCTTAATTTTTAGAACGCTAATCTAATGCGATCAGCGAGCGTCTGTGTTTCTTTCTCATTTCTAGAAACTGTAATGTCATTTATTAATTGTTTTGAGATGCGTGTAATTAACAGTATAAGAATTAATTTGACAGTTGCCTATATACAGTTCGTATAAGTCGTATATATATATTTTTCTCTCTTGTATTTGTGATTGATTTTAACAGGTGTCTCTCTCTAAAACAGGTGCCTTTTGCAGACTCTGTTCATTCTCGTATATATTATTATCATAACTTTCCATATTACTCATTACTAACATATTTTATATCTTACTGTAATAAGTATAATATCAACGCGATTTTTTGTATAAAAATATTATGTTCATAAATGCCTTGAGATAGCATTTTATAATTTTTTTTTTTTATTATTTTTATTACTGGAATTATTGCAGATAAAAAGTCGCGAAATAAATTCGATGGAAAATTTTAGCTAGTCGTTAATTATTCAATTTATTTGTAACGTTAAACTAAAATAATTAGTATTGCTTAGCGCTATATCAATATCCTAAAATTACTCCGAAAAATTTAAAAAGAGAACATTTTTTAATTAAATTGTAAAAAAAAGAAAGTGTAGTAGTTTCTTGAATAAGAATTGCTATATGCGCATGCATAATATACATACATATGTGCATATATATGCGTGTGTAAACAAAGATTTTTCATTTTTGAAGCAATATTTTCATAGATTTTTTTTCTTCAAAAGATCTTTTACAAATAAAGATTTTTTTATGTAAAAAAAAAAAAATTCTATGAATATTGCTTTAAAAATCTTAGGATTTGAGAATAGATTTCAAGAGCCTGAAGGAGAAATTGTAAAATAAAGCGTGCATTGTTAAAAACAAGAAAAGACAGATATACATTATTTGACATTTAAATAAAGAATGTTTAATGTCGTTCTAAATGATTTGTTGCTCCACGTTATTGAGAGAGATCGATATTCTTTGTTACTTCTTTGTAGTATTGTTTTAATCTTACTCATTAGTTTGACGAAATATTAGTTATTTCTAGTTATTTGTACACTATATTTCACCCGATTAGTTTCCCATTATGATAAGATTGTTATTGCCTGCTGTTAGTTCTGCATAGATAACACGCCGCTATTATTTTCATGGACGCCTGTTCCTAATCAGTTATGATAGGAAGAGAGATCTGACATAAAAATATATCCTTGACATGTTTATTATATTTATTACATATCGATTATCTCTGTAATATATGGGATTTATAATTATGTTATAATTATTATAATTTTTTTATTATAATGATTACATATTATAATATATCAAAATCATATATTATAGCTATATATATTATAAATATGGTTCTGAAATCAAATAAATATTTATTTCTCTTTTTTCATATTTTATAAATAGGTATTTTTCTCAAAATGAAGAATATATAAAAATAAAGAAACTAATAAAATTATAAATAAAGAATAAATAATTAAAATTATAAGTAAAGAATATTAGCAAAGAAATATGAAATATAATATTAACATAATTTCTTACAGAGATATTGCACATCTTAGAACGGTCAAGATTGACCTAAGAGGCATCGCAGGGTTAAAGAATCAATTCTCTTAATCGATTAAGAGAATAGGAGGAATGCAGGAGAGAGGAGGAATGTAGGAGAGCGATGGTGGAAGGAAGAGCAACTTGTGCGAGGATAGCAGGAGAAGCAACTTCTTCGTCGCACGTGAGAGAAGCTGCGAGTTATCGCGATTCGCTCGAGTCGATGTGCCTTTAGTGCGAATCGCGTATTCGTCACGCGAGCACGCGATCATTCCCCGTGTATCCCGTGGTATCCCATTCTCTCTCTTCCGCATCGTACAAATATCGAGGCTACCTTTAACTATGTTTTTTATTACACTATTCGTTTCTACGAAAAACGACGATTGGAACGATCGAAATTTGTGAGAAGACGCTTCCGCGTCTCGTTCGCGATAATCGAAGAATTTTAATTCGTATCTCGAGATAAATTTAATAGATCCACCATTTCTACGCATATATAGAATTCTTAAGGACATGAGTTTTTCGCGATGGACCGTCTTATCGAGCGCAAATTACTCAGTAAATTCTCAGATATGTATCTAATCAATAATTTAAACTTATACTGTGAGTTCGAAATGCAATAATTATTTTTAATTGCATGTATATATACAATATAAGCTTTGTAACGATTTTAATAACTTAGCGACGCAATTTAACAATTGTTTATATTTATATATTTATATATTTATATATTATATATTTATTTATATATTTTTATTAAGTAAAGATTTGATAAATATATGTATAAGAAATTTTATATAAAAACAATACAAGAGTAAAACACGTAATTTTTGTACTCTTGAATCTATGAACGGGCGAAATTGCAAATTTTTCTTGTCGAGTGGCAGCCTGACAATTATTTCGAGATTACCAAGTGTCAAGTTACTCAATCAAGCGTCTCAACGATCGCGTATTTAATCGAGACATTGCGACCGAACGATTCTTCGATCCGAACCGGCATATCTGACACGCCTAGCCTCGTGTATATCGCGCGATATTTAAAATCCACACAACCCCGGGAATCTGTACTTTTCGGAAAATCTATTTCGGTCGATGGCACCCCTCGGTGCAGCGCGCGTGGCCATTCGGACGATTCACTGCGATAGAATCCGACGATAAGACGGGGATATCAGACGGATAATCAGGATGGAGACTTCCACTATCGCTCTGCACGATTCACGTAAGAAGCCTGCTCTTTCCGCATATCTCTCTTTTTGCGCTTCTCCTTTTCTTTAATACTGCGGCCTTCACTTTGATGATTCTCAATATCAAATGGTATTTCAAATATCATGAGGAAACTTTCCGAATATAATTTATTTCTAAGGCAGTTGTGGTTTGCAAAAAAAAAAAAAAAAAACTAATAAATTGATGCTGATGACTTTAAAGATTATTATTGAATTTTTTATTTTGAGAGAAACTATCTCTTATCGTAATTATAGCAATTATGACATTTTCGATAGACATATGTTTTCCTATAAAATATTAACAACCACTCATATAATTAAAAAAAAATATTGATAAAAATGCGTCTAATCAGACAAAATTATCTTAAATATACTACTTTGAAAAATATTTAACACTTTGTAAATAAATAGACAATATTTCTTTACAACATAATAAAGTCGAGTAGTTGTAATAAGTAATAAAGAATGCGCTAATAGTACACAGACATTAAAAAACATAGTTCTAACGTAACGTTTCCTTCCCTCTCCCTTCGCGTCCCGGACGATCCTTGCTCTTTATCGTTCTTATCGTCCTTATCGCGGCGCTGAATCGCGTCTCCCTCTCTACCTACCTATCTATCCCGCTTCCCTACCCACTTCTCTGGTTTGTTTCCGGTGCTGTACGGATACTGGATGACCGCATGGGCAACGTCGACGATGACGATGACAACTACGACTACGACGACGACGATAACGTCATCACCGTCACGGTCGTTTCGGACACCACGACAGCGGTGAGTCTCTCTTTCTCTGTCTCTCTTTTACTCTGATAAGGCTAGTCGCATTCCGATCGTCGTGGAAGTTGGCTTCGTGTTCGTAATATTAATACCGCGGCCGCGTGAGTTCAGTTTGCACGAAGACCGCGCGGACTCGAATCGATTGAGCGGACGAGTGTCACGGTGCGAGAAAAAAATATTTCGCTAATTTTTCGACGAGTGTCAGTTTTTACACAACGAGAGAACACAATAATCGCAAAATCGAAAGTGTCCGACATAGGCAGATTAATCTGATGTATATTAAATTATTATTTATTTAATTAACTTCAAATCTTTAATTAATCCGTTGAAGAATTTAAGGATTGCGTCTTTGTGAATATGATTTCTAGGTTTCTATCTCGAAAACTTGTCTCGGAATATTTAATTTAGAAACAAAATACTATTTTCGTAAAATTTATTTATTTTTTGCTAATCTTGTGCTATTATAACTTCTACGTTATTATTTCTAAAGTTACAATATCAATGTCTTTCCACGATTCTTGGAGATAAGGAACAATAAATATATCGACGGAGGATTATTCAGTAAATTCTCAGATTTATATCTAATCAATAATTTAAACTGTAAGTTTGAAAAACAATAATTAATTGCATTTATAGTATAAACTTGGTATATTTCAATAGCTTAACAAATTATTTTTATACATATTTTTTATTAAATAAAAGTTTAGTAAATATGAAAAAAAATTTATATTAAAAAAGCAATGCAGGAAAACAGAAAATTTTTATATAAAAATATTTTTGTCACATCTGAATTGGATTATAAATTTTGAAATAAGAAATTAAACGGTCAGTTTTTTCGCAAAATTTAATTTATCACAATCAAGTCATATTAACAAAAAAAAATAAAGTTACATACATTCAAAGGTTTCTTTTTTTTTATGCACAATATAAAATAACTCCATTAAATCTCTTTATTTTACTACATTGACACATCTATTATATGCTAAAAGTAATAAATGCCGAAATTAGCAAGCTCTTTCTGCGCAATATAGTATGTAATTTCCGAATATTATATTATACATAATATTATATTATACATAAAAAAATAGAGATTGAATGAATAATAATATCAAATTGAATTAATTTTGATTTTATTATTCCTCCTTATATTTTCATCAATAATTTGAGAACAATGTCATAGTTGTCAAAATCTTTCATCCATGAGTTTCCTTGTTAATTAAACAAGTATTAATAAATAGTCGCACATTCCAAGAAAATTTACTAAGCTTTTTTCTTTATAGATACAAAATAGAGAGTTCTAAAATATGGTATATCAAGTTTCTTTATATAAGCTTCTGATTTCACTGAATAGCAACTTATGAAATTTATCGTTCTGTCTCCAAACCGTAGAACGACATTCCGGTTTTGAACTGTCGTATCAATGCTACGAATAGATAAAAATCCCATCCCGGTAGATTTTTATCAGCCAGTTTCGTTTCGCTGTCAGTTTCGCGTCAACGATTAAGAGCGATCGAATTGCGAAAAAAAATCGCTCTCTAGTACGTTCCTGATCGCGTTTCCGTGGCCGATCGATCGGCGCGGATTTCTCGGAACGGTAGTGTGTTTCCTATACAAGACGCGAACTGAGCTAGTCGCGCGACGATTGATGAAAGTGTGATATCTCGTGAATCAGCGAGTTGCTATTTGATCATTGGTGGTGAGCAATCGAATAAATGATGTCGATGACGGACGCGTCGACGGCGAGACGCCGTTTGAATCCGGCCGTTCTCGCCAGATACAATTGCCACAAGAACAAGGAGTCTCAACAGGTAGCCGTATCATCATTTGTATGACAATTTTTTTTTTTATTGATAATGCATAAGTAGAGAGAGAGAGAGAGAGAGGTGAACTTGAAAATATCGTCATGTGTAAACAATGTTTAGAAAAGTGAAATTCTAACGTGCATTCACACATTTATTATCGTGTATGTATGTATTGCATATCAATTAATAATCCCCATTAATTCGATTTTATATATATATTTAAATATAATTTCAATATAAATTAAAAATATACTTTATATATTGTATATAAAATCGAATTAACGAATATTAATTGGCATACGATATTAATTGGTAGACGATCAAATTGCAATACCGGATGCATCGCGTTTAATTGGCGAAGGAATTATTTCGAAACAGTATCCACTCGACTCATTGCGACGCATTGTCGCGACTTGAATTCCGCTCGAGACGTTCTTTTTATTCTTCGTTTCGTTCTTTCGAACGTGTATGTGCATACCGCACGTACGCAAACACGCGTGGCCGAGACAGTTTGATGCTCTTATTAGCTCGATGTCCAATTAAGGTCGCAACCGACGCTCTCCGGGCATTCCGCTATGCATACTTCCTAGTGGACGTGCTAGAATAACAAGCGCGAAGACAATGCTATCGCGAGAGCGTTGACATCGCGAAATCGAGACCGGCGAGACTCGAATCACTTACAGCTAATCATCGCATTCTCGTCGTTAGAGATGACGCGGAATCGTGTACTATTACAACAATGCGTGTTCGTTGACACCGGTGCGATCGTCCGATAAGATCGTCTCTCATCCTGCAATCTCTTGGCAAGTTTAATTCTTACGATTAGTCACGAAAAAAACCACGATATTAACCGCCAGATTCTCATCAAAAGTGATCGAGATCTAGATGGCTTAGCGTATATACTAAATTACTATTTAACTCCACACAAATATTTTCTCCCGTTATCTCTAATTTAAGCAATTAGTTAGTTAAGATGTTGAGGAATTTATGAACTGCGTTTGTGAGTATCTATTTTATAAGGATCCTGTTATAATACAGGGTAACGAAGCAAAAACGAGCAAATCTCTAAAGGACTTTTTGTCTTAGTTTATCAGTCCCCTACACGCTCCTGAAGTTTTGACATTTAATTTGGGGACACCCTGTATAAGAGTATCTATAATCCAAATCGTGTATTTAATCTATAAAAAATAACAGGCGCAATTTTTCCCTGAGATATTTATTTCAGAGTATTATTAAAAGGTTCCCATTTCTCAGTCTCTTATTACTGTTACAACTGTCACGTTGTTGTTATTATTTATAATCCTGTTACTAATGTCCGCCTGTGATTCTTGAAGTCAGGACGTACGTGTATGAATATCATATATCAAGGATATCTAATCAAAGTAATTCTAGCCGCAAATTTAATACATAATATATCATTGCGTTTATAATCTCGTTAATTAAATAAATATTTACGAATTGTCGCAGACATATTTGTTGTAATTCCTCCTAAATAATTATACGCGATATGGATTTTATGCTTTTAACGATATTGAGTATTAAATATTCAATACCTGTGAAAATTCAGTCTCGAAAATTAAATGATTTATTTATTTATTAATGTGACAATATATTTAAAAATATTATGACAATTTTTTATAACTGAATTCGTAACCGATTCGTTTATGTTTTAATAAAATTAATCAGTGGCCGCAATATTGTATCAAATAGGTATAAGTAAAGTATCAAATAAGAACAACATTCAAAGAAAATATTCAAATTATTCGTCAAATTCTGACAGAACATATTAATTTAGAGAGAGAGAGAAAGACATGTTTTTTTTCCCATTTATTTTGGCATGTATAGAACAAAGAAAGCAGTCTCATTCGCGAAATAGCATTTACACTCCGTTACGCGACGAATGAAAGCAAAAGTGTATGTTTCAAAGTCCTTACGAAGGACTGAAAACAAGCGGTTGTAATGATGGGATGCTGCAGTATCGACGCTCGATATAACAAAGCTTCGCTCACATGCCGTGAGCGTCGAGCGCGCCGATTAGTTCCGCGCGACGGGCCGACGGCGCATGCGCGGCCGACGTTCACGAATTGCGCCGCGGCGGCGCACCAAGTCTCTCTTCCCCCTCCCACGATCCGTTTCCCCCTCGCGGCAGCTGCGTCAGGCGTGGTCGCCGCAGTACATACGAGTCGGGCCTAGCGAGTGTGTGTCGCGCGGATCAAACTTTCGTCGAGGACGCGTTTATTCAGTGCAATCTGTGGCGTTTCGTTTGTGTGGTGTGGACAGACACGTATTCGTGTTCTCCTCTCTACGTACGCGCGTGCGGGACGCGTAAAACGATGAATGGCCACCAAGTGAGAGTGAAAACGCGGCCACGCTCGACCGGCTCGCCGACGGCGTGAATCATCGGCAACGCCGGCTGCGAACCTCAGAAGCCCACACAGTGCGACGCACGTTATAGTCTCCCTTTCTCTCTTTCTTTCTCGCTTTTCGCGCGCGCGCGCGCGCGCGAGCGCGTGTTCCCTCCGACGCGTTCTCCCGTCCTATCTCTTTTCCTGCGAGAGCAATCCTCGTATCCCGTGCCCACCACCTACGCAGGCGAGCGTTAACAGAGTTCTGGTTAAGGGACGGTTAGTAGCGTGCTGTGATATATCTCGATTTTCGGGCTCTAGTTAAGGCGCGTCGAGAGTGCATGTACGATGGCCAGTTTGGTGTTCTCGTTTCTTGAGAGTCGCATCGATGTCGGCTCGGTAACTTATTATCTCGAATGTGAACTCGAAAAAACACTCGCTCTCGATGCGACGAATTTCCGGGAGCTTCGATATTCGTTGCCGAGAGCGAGGGACTTTCGAGCGGACGGGCAACCTATTGTCTCTGGTTGACGAAATATTGCCTCCATTCAAACATCAAGGATGGAAACCGGTATAATTTCGATGACTCGACGTTCCGTGGACGCGCGAAAGTGACCTCTATATGTTTACTTACATGTTACAATGGAAACGCGGCGTGGGGCGTGCTTCTTTCCGTACTTATGTGCACGGGAAAATTGCCTTCATCGAAATGACGCCGCTTTCAATCTCTCTTTTTAAATTGTAGCAAAAGGGCTGGCTGTCCTGTTACATCAAGGACCTAAATTAAAATTATTTATTTATTTAATTAAAATTCATATTTATATGAATTAACATTTTGTATAGAAAAAAAAAATCTTTCCAAGTTTTCTAGAAATCTTTTACGATACAGAAAAAAAAAAATAGTGTAGTTTCAAAAAAATCGGAGGGTTCACCTATTCGGAACTTTATCCAAATTTAATCATTATTTATTATATTAATTAATTTTAATTTTAATTAATTATTTTATAGCTTTAATTAGAATTTTCGTTAACCAGAGGTAGCTATCTCATTTTTTATTCCGCGTTTACGAAGCGATCCTTTCTCCTTTTGATCTTGACCGATCATTGAAGCTAGACGATGGGAGCTACTTTTTTTTATTTTAATTACGGTCACTTTTACTTCGCGATAAATTCCTGATATCGTAGTCATACGAAAGATGCAGACAGCCGTCAGCGTGAGTCAACATCGAACGATTATACGTAAACAATCATTGCACATCGCGAATTCGAGTCTAGAAAAATTTGAATACGAGATGTATATAAACAAAATTCACACAATTTTTATTTCGCAGTTTCTGTATAAGATATAATGTATTTGCTTTAATTAAACTTGATAATTTACAAAAAATGCGTCTAATTGTACGTAAATAAATGCAACGCTTAATGAGTATATTTATTATCTCATATTAATTTTATCTTATATTTATTTTAATTAATTTTTTATTAGCAATACATTTTCTTTATAAAGTTGGTTGCATTTCATACATAAATCAATGAGATACGTCAGTATCTACTATATTCAATTCATTAATGATAAGTTTCTCGATTGAAAGGCCTCTTTAGACGATCTATAATTTACGACAAAATTGAGAAGACACAATTCTATTTATATATTTTATATATCGTGTATTACAAAAAATTTGAACGCGTAAAATATATACAAATTAAAATATTAATATTATATATCAAGATACATTGAAATTATATATATATA